GTGAATGTTCTTCAGAAGCTAGTCCCACCCTTGTAAGAATCATTCACCTAGTTGTCTATATCAGTCTTGTGTAATCCTTGAATCAAATCGAACGAACTAGTAAAAAAAATGTGCAAGGAAGTAAACAACTCAACCAAATCATCGTTCATCTTAACGTTGTCGGTAATCATGGCAAGATTGGAGAAAAGAAAACAGAGCTAGCCAACAAGAGAGCTATCTGAGTGTGTTAGGGTTATAACTCGAGAATATGGTGTTAATTCGACATGGAAGTTTTGGCTGAGGTATCAAGCATTCAAACCCTAAGTTTTGCGCACAACGATTTTGGAGGATTAATGCCTGATGTAAGAAATATTGGGCTGTTGAGGAGTATTTATTCATCGAATAACAATGTTACGAGGGTGATTGGGAACGATTTGTTTGCTGGAATGAGTTCGATGAGGTAAGTTGAAGTTTAGAGTAACAAATTGGGTGGTCGAATTCTTGAATTGCTTACATAAATGAGCATTCTTGTTGATTTGCAGATGCAGGAATGTGTGTGTGTGTGAGAGAGAGAGAGAGAGGCTATTTTTTTTGTTTTTAAAATTTAATTAATAAAGTAGCTCTAACATAATAAATGAAAATCATTTTGGCCAAATGTCATGTTATTATTGAATTTGACACATGTCATTTTCTAGAATTTTTAGATTTTTTCTTGTTCCACTTGATATTTTCTTGTGTTTTTCATTTTTCCAAATTTAAATTTCACCATTTATGTAAAGTATCAATTTCAATAATGATTAATGAAGAATTTTCTTTTAATTTCAATATTCCTAAATTTAAGTTGAATTACAATTTCAATATTCTTATATTTAAAATGAATTACAAAAACACTTGAACCGTTGTTTTACCTCATATCAAGCATTGATTTTTATTCTAACATTCCAAGATTATTCTGACATTATAATTAATCAGATGAATAAATTATTTACTGATTAAGGAATTGTTTATATGGTTTTTACTGTGGTTTTAGTATAAATATGAGTTTGATTATACTCTTTACTTTTAGATGTTTAGCATTACAGTGAGTATTTCAAACTTCACTTTCACTTGTAACATGTCCATGGAGGCAACGCCAAGTTTGGCATGTCATATCAATGTTCCATGGTTTATCCTATGTAATGATTTTTATCCTTATAAATGAATTTGATGATCTTTTCTTTATTTTTGTTTGTGATGGTTAGTGCAAAATTTTCAACATATTTTATTAATGTGTAATAGTTACAATAAAATTATATTCGTCTAAATTTACAAGTAATAATGATAATTCATCATGTTGAGATTATAACTACATAACAAAAATCAACTACAAAATATATATATATATATATATATATATATATATATATATATATATATATATATATATATATATATATATATATATATATATATATATATATATATATATAATATGAAAAATAGCCCAAAATTATATTTCAAAAAGACAATTTCCATTGATTGTATGTTTTGCGATGACAATAACAAAAGTTAAGGACGGTTGCTATCAATGGTGATGTTGTTTTTTAGATAACCAATGTTCGCTCATTGACAATTGTATATTGCATTGTCCTGATATGGAAGTAAAAAAAATAAAAAATACCAGTTTTAGACAGTGATGAGAAACTAAACAGACATCTAATGTTTTATTCAATGAAGTCTTTAAAAATTTGTGATTCAGGACAATTCTTAAAAATATTTCCAAGAGTATTCTGACATTATAATTAATCAAATGAATAAATTATTGACTGATTGAGGAATTGTTTATATGGTTTTTACTGTGGTTTTAATATAAATATGAGTTTGATTATATTTTTAGATGTTTAGCATTATAGTGAGTATTTGAAACTTCACTTTCACTTGTAACATGTCCATGGAGGCAACGCCAAGTTTGGCATGTCATAACAATGTTCCATGGTTTAGCCTTTTTAATGATTTTTATCCTTATAAATGAATTTGATGATCTTTTCTTTATTTTTGTTTGTGATGGTTAGTGCAAAATTTTCAAAATATTTTATTAGTGTGTAATAGTTACAATAAAATTATATTCGTCTAAATTTACAAGTAATAATGATAATTCATAATGTTGAGATTATAACTACATAACAAAAATCAACTTTTATATATATATATATATATATATATATATATATATATATATATATATATATATATATATATATATATATATATATATGAAAAATGGTCCAAAATTATATTTCAAAAAGACAATTTCCATTGATCGTATGTTTTGCGATGACAATAACAATAGTTAAGAACGGTTGCTATCAATGGTAATGTTGTTTTTTAGATAACCAATGTTCGCTCATTGACAATTGTATGTTGCATAGTCCTGATATGAAAGCAAAAAAATAAAAAATATTAGTTTTAGACAGTGATGAAAAACTAAGCAGACATCTAATGTTTTATTCAATGAAGTCTTCAGAAATTTATGATTCATGATAATTCTTAAAAATATTTCAATAGTTTCTTTTACGGAAAATGACACATACGCCCTATGAAGTTTCTAGGGTCGACCATTTTAGTCACTTAAGTTTTTTCGTGGCTTTATGAGGAAATCAAGTTGTAGGCAACCTGTCTTTTTAGTCCATTTTACTTGTTTTAGCCGGTTTAGGGGAAACATAGATAAAAATTGGGCCCACCCATCTCTCTCTCTCTCAATTGAATAATTGTTACCTAGAAACCAATCACCACCTGTATTTTCCTTTGTTCACCAATAATTTGTTTAGGTATCAGATTGAATAATTGTCTTCATTAAATCGCTAATATATACAAAATGGGGGGGGGGGGGGGGGGGGGCTTCGTCTTCATTAGATCTGGAAGGGAAATTGATTCGGATGGAAACAGGAAACGATGGGGTGATTGTTTGTGGCTGATCAGCGAGCACCGGTTGAGGAAGGAAGATGGAAATAATAGGTGGTTGCAGTCTGTCTCCATCTTCAACAATCGGGTAAGGAATGTATTGTCGAAGTCGCAAGGAAACTCTGATGTTGGCTGGCAATCGAGAGAAGGGGAGGGCATTAATCTTCGGCGATGGCTGGGAGGACATGAGGAGGGGTGTCGACACTCCAGGGCTGCTCCGGCGACTTCCTTCTTCTTCTGGTCCGACCGACTGCAACACAAGAAGGGAAGGAAGGTTCATTGGAAATTGAACAACAACAAATGAGGGGTGGTTATGAGGAGTTCGATCGATCAAGGAGGAAGAAAATCAAAAGAAGAAGGGTGGATTTCGGTCCGGTGGCGGAAAATCCGTTAAAGGGGACGAAGCTCATTTTTTCGGTGGTACCCTTGACATTCTTGATTTTGTCGCCAACGACCACAGATCAAGGGGAAGGAGCTAAAGGCGGTGACAGGCTCGATGATGGTTGAAGCATCGAAGGTGATGACGATATGGATGCTCCGGTAATCCTCTTGAATGTTTTCCCTTCTTGTTGTTAATTGTGGAGGTGAGTAGCTCACGAAGTGATCAGAGGGAGTTTGGGTGGAGCTTCAATCGTTATTCTCTGGGGGAGGGGCTGCCATCGCCGATGAGTGTGAGAGAGAGAGAGAGAGATAGAGTGATTTAGATGTCATGGGACGTTTTAATTTTTTTAATTTATTAAAATAGAAAAATAAGTGACCTGGCATATGGGTAACCGGGTTACCCCTTCGTTTTCTCAAAAAGGACGTATTGGACCCGACAAAACCAAATTTGTTCCCTTAAAACGCCACTTAAAAAGTTAAGTGACTAAAAGAGTAAATCATAAAAACTTCATAGGGCGGATGTGTCATTTTCCCTTTCTTTTAAATACTATAGATTAAAGTATTTACATACTCATCAATGTGGTTATATTTATTTCATAATTTTACTATAAAAATGTTCGATGTTTATACATTTATATTTAAACTTGTTTAATCAACTCTACACAGGTCTCACACCTAATAAAATAAATATGAAAAAAATATAAAAAACGAAATTAAAAGGGCAAAATAATCATTTCAAGTTTTCAGAACCAAATCCACTGAAAGTTTGTGATTTTAGAATCATGGTGCAAGTTGAAAACTTTTTGGACTTAATCCGTAGTTTTTTTGCAAACCACAGCTAAAAGCACAAGAACACAAGAAGCTTACTATATACTTATATCATGCTTACAAAGTAGCTTACAATTACCACAACACAAGCAACAAGCCACCTCGGCATAGCACTACAAAGAGTAGTGACCAAGTAAACCATATGGACCACAAGAAGTAATTACTCAATAAATTTAAAGCATACATTTTCATGTATGTATCTCAGGAGAAAAGAATGAGAATGGACCACAAGAAGTAGTTATTATTGTCACATAAGTTTTGGATGTATTATAAATTATAATATGTTAAAATGAATTCTTTTATGCATTGCCGCTTATGTAACTTTGTTAAATCATAATGAAATAAAAGAATTTATTGGATTTATTCTAGTGAAATAAAGAGTACTAAGGATAAATGACGAAACCCACGGGATCGAGGCATCACAATTTGCATGCTAATTCAAAGTTTGTTTAATTTAGAGCAGTAAATTAATTAAAAAAAACATGTTTTACTTACATTAACACGATCAACCATGTTTCAACTGCTACAACTAATTAGATATTATATAGGTGCCAATATGTTCTTATAGGTTTCGTAAATCATCAATTAGTGACATGTTAATTACATAGGTTATATTGTAAATTTTAGCTTAAAGTTCTGGTCAAGAATAAAGTTAATTGCCACAACACATTTCAAGTAAATCATATTATTTCCAAATTGTAAATTACATATAACAATAAGTATCAATTTTTGACTATATACATCGTATTTATCAACACTAAACATATAAAAAACCTTACATGACTATTTTTTTTTCTATGATCACTAACATGACTCCACAGGGTTAAAGAAGTAAATTAACAAACTTACCTGTGTCCTCGAATAACATCACGTTAATGATCAAATAACAGAAGACTTTCCATATAATTAATATCGACTGCAGATCGACTAAAAGAGATTCCAAGATCATGAACTTGAGTTTCCAGGCTTTCAAGATCAAAAGAAACAAGCTTTTTCTCCAAATTTGCATAAAGAAATTTCCCACTTTTTGTAAATCCTATAGTCCACCACACACCTCTGTTACACTGAATTGTGTATGCTTTTGTCCAACTTTTGCTATATTCATCCATCTTCCATAACACCAAGATGTCATTTTGTCCACCAAAGAACTTTGAGTAGATAGCAAATAAAGAACCAGATGATCCCCTCACTGACAAAAGAGAAAATGGAAAATCAACAGAAGGCTGTTCAATCTCTTTGAATTTCTCATTGTCAAGATCAAATGACATGATGTAATTCTCCATCGGATCATCGCGAATGCTCTTGAAACCCATCCAGTAAAAGAAACCCTTGTGAAATGTCACTACACTTTGAGTAACAATGGGTGGAACTTCAGTGCGAATTATCCTCCATGAATCTGTTTTCAAACTGTAAACTTCAACCAAAGGTGCGGCATCCACAGAGGTGAAATTACGGCACTCTGGAAAGTAAATCAGTCTGATAACTTTGTAGTCGTTTGTCGATTCATGAAAACCGAATCCCAAACGAGAAACCATCCACCTTTCGTCGGTGAACTCATCGGAAAACTGTGACGGCGGAAGCTTTTTATGGCTTCTGATTGATGGATTCCAGATATACACATCGTTCCCCAAATTATACTCCAATCCAGGTGCTAAACATAGCAATCCGTTACACGAACCGATGAAGTTTAACGATGATTTTCGATTAGGTCCAACAGCGAAAGGGGTTTCAACAGCGTAGAGCGATTTAAAACTTCTATCGCAAACTATATGGCAGAAATTAGTGCATCCCAATAGAAGATATCCATTATCGCGACACTCTGGACGATAACTGTCATTTGAATTGAAATGTAAAGCGACGAAATTAGGGTTTCTGATAAGATCGTACCATGATTTACAAACAGAGGTGCATCGAATTAGTGTTTTGACTGGTAATCTCAAGAACATGTCGATTACGATCTCCGGTGGTATGAAATAGCTTGAAGCACTCATTTGCTCCGGCATGACGATTGATTTTGGTTTCTTTGAACTGAAATCTTGGAACTAGAAGAAGACACAACACCGTTGAACACTTTACAGACTCGAAGCATTCGGTTCTTTAATGCTTGACTTGAAATTTTGCATACTTAGTCCCTGTAGTTTGATGTTTTTGTAGTTTTGATGGAATGTTATAAATGTTATATTTGTTGGTCTATGTTACATACTTGCCAATGATGACTATAACATAAGTACTATTTTTAGTATTTTATGATTTTATCAAGTGTTTTATTTGGAAAAAAACTATACATTTTTAATTACAATAAGCAAATGCATCATTTTTTAATTAAAAAAAAAATCTGAATTTACCAATTTATTATTTGACGATAATTACAAAATATTTATAAGATTAAAGATTGATTAAGGTATAAAAGTTTTTTCCAATTTATTTTGTTAGGAGATTGATTACTTATCTGATTATTGATTATATTTTATTCGTAGGAGTGAATGTTGGAAATATCGAAATAGGGTTATGGAAATCTGGATAACAAAACAGGAATAGTGTAATCACTTTTCTTGTTTGATATTTCGATTCTATATGCCTTTGGTATCACGAAATCCAAACTTAGGATAATCCATGATACAACAATTCTGATTTTAAGCACAAAATCAAAATCAATTTTAGAAGAAGATGAAGAAGGAAGCGTTTCCCGGTTTTCAGTGTTCCAAAGGAGTCGTTATTTTCTCGGATTTATCCACTCAACGGATAAATGAGAATAGTTTTTTCAGAAAAAACAGATTAGTCCATAAATTTGCATTTTTCAAGAATGACAGCTTAGTCCTTGTACCGTTCGGTATTAACAATGTTTAGTAAATACAAGTGTACACTCCCACACCTTCTAACTTGTATTATAACTAAAACATTATTCCTGAAACACTTATTAAATTCATTACACTAAAATATATTTGGTGATAAAAAATCACTAACAATCCTCCCCTATTTTAGTGTAACCTTGAATTAACAAACTTAAAAACAAAAGAAACGAAACTAATGCTTAAATGAAAATATCGATACGATTGAATTTTCATGTTAGTATATTACACATTTCAAACATTCGAGAAATCAAGGTATCTTAAAGATTGAACCCATCAACTAGTTTGAATATCTGAAGATAATATACACATTAGTTTTACAATCATCTAAAACAAAATAACTTGATACTAATTATAAATCTGTGTGTCCCAATCCATTCTTTATCGTATAAAAGCCAAGTCCCAAGCTCTTTGAAGTACGGCTAGGTGATTCTTTTATTCATGTACCTGTATACATTTTATCAAAAGAATCATTAAGAAATCAAATTCATCCTGGTCTCTACAGGTTCAAACACACGTACCTTGGGATGTTTTAATGTGTGTTTCAATTCATATAAATAAGCTTTCCTCATTAAATTCAACCCCTAACATTGTATTAGAGGGGAATTGGATGTCTCATTCATAAGAATTTATAAGGACTTTAAGCCCATCCCTATAACAGACTTGTGCACTAAGTCTCATGCCAAGCTCTTAGTGAGATGGTCCCCCAAATTTTGTTGTGATTTTACAAATTCAATCGAAATCACACCATCCATGATTAGATTTCTAATCATCCCATGTCTAACATCAATGTGTCTCGATTTACCATTATAAACTTAACTATAAGATTTACTCAAAGTAGAAACACTATCACATCGGATAGATAATGGCGAAATCGGTTTCCTCCACAATGGAATTTCATAAATCAAATTCTTTAACCATTCTGCTTCCTTGCTTGCAGCAGGCAATGCAATAAACTCAGATTCCATTGTTGAACTTGTTATACAAGATTGCTTTTTAGATGCCCATGATATAGCACCTCCACCAAGCAAGAATACCCAACCAGTTGTAGAAGAGTGATCTTCTCTATTGGATATCCAACTTGCATCAGAATATCCTTTCCAAGACCGAAGGAAATCCTGAATAACATAAACAATAATCCTTCATTCCTTTCAAATACTTGAAAACACGATGAACCGCTTACCAATGTTGAGTACTAGGATTATGAGTAAATCTACTCAATATTCCCACTGCGAAAGCTATATCTGGACGAGTGCTAGTCATAGCATACATCAAAGAACCAATAGCTTGCGAGTACTCAAGTTGAGAAACTGATCTGCCTCTATTAGGCATCAACTTCATGCTTGAATCCATAGGGGTGCTAACAGGTGTACAATCACTATAATTGAACCGTTTGAGAAATTTCTCAATGTAATGTGACTGTGTAATAACAAGTCCCTTGTTCACCCGTTTAATCCTTATTCCAAGGATTACATCCGCTTCCCCCATATCCTTCATGGAAAACTTTGAAGAAAATAAATTCTTTGTTGCATTAATTTGATTTTGATCAGTGCCAAAAATCAACATATCATCTACATACAAGCAAATGATCACACCAGATCCAGATGAATCAAAACGGCTATACACATATTTATCAGATTGGTTTAAAGAAAAACCATTAGACAAAATAACTTCTCCAAACTTCAAATGCCATTGTTTAGGAGCTTGTTTAAGTCCATACAATGATATCACAAGTCTACAAACTTTTTGCTCATTTCTAGGCAGAACAAAACCTTCTGGTTGTTTCATATAAACTTCCTCGTCAAGATCACCATTCAAAAAAGTTGTTTTTACATCCATTTGGTGAATAACTAGATTGTGAATAGCTACCAAAGCAAGCAACAATCTAATGGTATAAATCCGTGCTACCGGTGCATACGTATCAAAATAATCGATACCAACTTTTTGTCTAAAACCTTGTATGACCAGACGAGCCTTGAATTTATCAATGATTCCATCTACCTTCATTTTCTTTTTGAAAATCCATTTACATCCTAAAGGATTAGAACCAGGAGGTAAATTAGATAACACCCAAACATTATTCTCCATAATGGATGACATCTCTTCATCAATCGCTTCTTTCCAAAACACAACATCTCGAGACTCCATAGCTTCCTTAAAAGTCTTTGGATCAGTCTCAAGATGAGAGGAATATGATTATTGTTTCTCCACTTTATCCCTCAAACCTTGAACTAAAAATAGTTGAAAGTCATCACCAAAATTTTTCGCGACTCGACCTCGTTTACTTTTACGAAGTTGTTGTGTTTCTGGAATTGAAACAACTTCCTTAACATCTGATTTAGGCACCTCACTTGTTCTTGGAATCAGATCATTTGGTCTTTGAATTGAAGAATACCGCAGCTCATCAAAAATAGCATCTCACGATTCTATAATGGTATGAACGGAATATGTCTCATTAGGTTCTATAACATAAAACCTATAAGCTTTGGAATGTTCTACATATCCAATAAATATGCAGTCAATTCCTCTTTCACCCAAATTTTTCTTTTTAGGTTCGGGTAATTTCACAACTGCTCGACATCCCCAAATTTAAAATAACTCAAATTTGGTGCTTTCTTGTGCCAAAGTTCATAAGGAGTAACTTTGTTCCGTTTATTAGGAACCCGATTTAGCACATAATTATCTGTGAGCATAGCTTCACCCCAAAAGCCTTCACTTAAACCCGAAATAGAAAGCATTGAATTTACCATTTCTTTTAAAACTCGATTTTTTTGTTCAGCAATACCATTTTGTTGTGGATTGTAAGGAGCTGTGGTTTCATGAATGATTCCAACCGATTGAAAGTATTCAGAATCCATGTACTCTCCTCACCTATCCGTCCTAAGAAATTTTATCGAAATACCCAACTGTAATTCGACTTCGGTTTTATATACTTTAAACTTTTCCAAAGCCTCATTTTTGGAATATAACAAGTACACATAACAAAACCGACTTGAATCATCAATAAAAGTAACAATGTACTCTTTATTTCCCAAGGAAGGTGTAGCATGGAAATCACATAGATCACTATGAATCAATTCCAACACTTCTGTTTTTCTATTAACATTTGGTAACGGTTGTTTCGTGATTTTAGTTAACATACAAGTTTTGCATTTTTTAGAATTAATGTCAAAAGCTGGAATCAATCCGGATTTTGACATTTCAATGATTCTTTTAACATGAACATGTCCTATTCTATTATGCCATAACATAGTATTATCAAGATTAAACGTAGAAGTCATACAAGTAGATTTGACATGTGATGCATAACTTATAATATTTAACTTAAAAACACGATCATAATAATAACCAAATCCCACAAATATTCCACATTTAGAAAACACATACTTGTTTGACTCGATAACTTGTTTATAACCCATACAATTCAACAAACCACTAGACACAAGGTTCTTTCGAACCTTTGGTACATACAATACATCAAACAAACTAATTGTTTTTCCAGAAGTAAACGTAATACTAACAACACCAGTTCCTAATATTGGCTTTGATCCTTCATCCGCCATGTGTAAGCCATGGCGGATGAAGGATTTGTGTTGTTATTGAAATATAACAACAAGAGGTACTACACTTGTGGTACCTGCTTTCCAAGACAAGAGATTGAAGATTTGTGTTGTTATTGAAATATAACAACAAGAGGTATGTAATCCCTTTTAGTATGTAAATTTTAAAATATATAGATGCATGCTAGGGTTCTTCTTGTGTTCATAAAGTTGTGTATCTAATAGAGAAAACATAGATCCAAATCTAGGGTTGCATGCACACATAGGATTGTTTGTATAAAACCCATAAGTGGTCTCGGAGCTTATGGTTAAATTGTTTTCAATTAGAATCATACAATTGTATGAATTTGACACTTTAGGTTTTATGACCAATAAACCCTAGGAGGCTAGGATTTCGATTTTAGGGTTCTTGAACCCTAGTGTTTGAAATTTTGAGAAGGTTTTTCAAACCCTTTTCCTTGTTGCCCAAGATTTCAAGATCTAGGGTTTGCAAACCCTAGATTTTCGAGATATGCCTTATCCCCAAGATAAGTCCTTAAAATTTAGGGATTTGGATAATCCCATATCTTGTAATTATCCTTTAATGGTTAAATA